AGTGACGCGAAGCCATTAGTAGTTGATTGGTTTTTTTCTGTACCTAATTAAGAGTTTCTACAGTAACCCTGATGTAAAGAAAATTTCACTTTTTCAAATTTTTTTCGTTTCTTTAGGATTTATCAAAAATCTGCCTGTGTTTACCAGTGATGGGAAAAAACGCATTTTTCCGAAATACGGAAATAGATGATAAAAAATGTTTATAAGGAGTTATGGACCAAAACATACCAAAAAATGGCTATATTTTCGAAAATTCATAATTTTGTAGGTTTGTGTCCGTTTGTTGAAATTTAAAGAACAGTGAATAGACAATCAACTGAACTTTTGAAATACAAAGTGATCATTTTCTTATTGATTGGATTATTGATTTTTTGAAAAAACCGAAAGAAAATTTCAATATCTCAAAATCCCAAGTTAACATTTTTCTCTCGTTATGACCATTGAATTCAGCACATTTGATTTACTATAGACACTTATCAACACCCCGGGGGAAATCATGCTCACACAAGTTATGCCGAAAAATATCGATTTTTGGCACTTGGCTGCTTTGAACTCGTTGTCCTCGGCGGCCGGTATTTTTGTGGTTTTTACATCAATTGCCTAATTTGGTTAAAACACAATTTAGTAATATTTAAAGTCAAGTTTTCAAATGCCGTGCCATTTCTTAAGAACACCACTTTGAAGAAATCAAATTTTTGACACTTGATGGAAACAGCCAAACTCTTTTTCAACATAATCAGGATGGCAAAATCTTATCAACGGCTCGAATAGAATTTTGAATTAGGCCCTAGAAATAACAATAAAATTTTGAGATCTCGAAAAAATTTTTAATTCTAAAATTCTTTAGTTTCTTTTTAAACTTTCCTGATCTGTTAAGTTTCAGGATATTCCCATTTTTTGACATTTTTCAAAAATTTCAATTGTTTTTGCAACATAAGAGACTTTTCATTAGAGTTTTTTTTTGCGTTTTAAAAAGATACAGATGGAGATTTTTTGACATTTTTGGATGACACAGAACAAAAGAGAATAAGAAAAAGAAGAAAATGATGACGTGGAAATTTTCAGAGATCCCAAGAAGAGGCGAGAGATGCGGAGTCATTTGTTTGTGGAGCAGTTAGCCGGACATCATTCTGAAAGATTTTTTTTTCATTTTTGGAATTTTGAAAGTTCCCTATTTTCTGATTTTTTTTTTTGGATTTTTTGGATTCTTTTATATTTCAAAATTATGAATTTTTTCTGAGATTCTGAATTTCTAAAATGCTGAAATGCTGAAATTCTGAGATTCTGAGATTCCGAGATTCTGCGATTCTGACATTCTGAAATTCTGAGATTCTGAGATTCTGAGATTCTGAGATTCCGAGATTCTGCGATTCTGACATTCTGAAATTCTGAGATTCTGAGATTCTGAAATTCTGAGATTCTGAAATTCTGAAATTTTGAGATTCTGAGATTCTGAGATTCTGAGATTCTGAGATTCTGAGATTCTGAGATTCTGAGATTCTGAGATTCTGAGATTCGGAAATTCGGAAATTCTGAAAATCTGAGATTTTGAAATTCTGAAATACTAAAATGCTGAGATTATGAAATACTAAAATGCTGAAATTCTGAGATTCTGAGATTCTGAGATTCTAAGATTCTGAGATTCTGAGATTCTGAGATTCTGAAATTCTGAGATTCTGAGATTCTGAAATACGGAAATTCTGAAATTCTGAAATTCTGAGATTCTGAGATCCTGAGATTCTGAGATTCTGAGATTCTGAGATATTGAGATTCTGAAACTCTGAGATCTGAAACTTTGAAATTCTGAAATTCTGAAACTCTGAGATTCTGCAAATCTGATATTCTGAGATTCTGATTTTGAAAGTTCCCTATTTTCTGATTTTTTGGAATTTTCGGATTCTCTTATTTTTTAAAAATATGAATTTCTTTAAAAATTCTGATATTTGAAAACCTAAAGTTTCATCTAACTATTTTTTTCAAATCTACTTTCAAATTGTTTGAGAAAACTAATATTTTTTTTTGCACAGTCATTTAGCACCTAGTCTGAGCAATCGACATTTTCTAGATTAAATTTTTTTCGTTTCGTCACGAACATTTTTGATCAAACAAAGTTAATTAGAATTTTGGAATTTTTTTCGGACAATAAAACAGAAAAATTTCAGCAAAATATTTGTGCAATTCTAAAATGTTTTCAGTATAACTTCAAAAATTTCCAGAGAAAAACTTCAGGAAATTTCAGAAAAGTGAAAATTTCATTTCTGAAAACTCAAAATTTCCAAAAAAAAAAATGCTTTTTCGAAAATTCAAGAATCTCAGAAAATTTCCCAATTCAGATAAATTTCCGTTTCGTTAGATTTATAATGTATTCAAGGCTGTCGAAAACATGACCGTTGTCGACCGTGGTTCGGCCATGGGCATGCAGTCGTGGACCAAACTGTCTGTGTGTTCAAGACCAAGCTAAACCAGTAGTAATAATCGTAAAATATAAAATTTTTCCTTCAATTCTGTTCAAAAATCACTTTTCTAGCTCTCCTAGGAGCTGAGATACATCCCTTTGAAGTCCGAGAGGCTAGAGACGCAGTGTGTCTCGTCGACTGCGTCTCTAGCCTCCTGAGCTTCAAGCCGCTGTATCTCGGCTTCTAGAAACGCTAGAACATTCATTTTAAAACCAGATTGAAGGTTGGGACCTTGTCTTTCTTTATAAATTTGGAAACTGTTAGGAATTTTTTTTGAAGTTTGAGAATTTGTTTTACTTGTCGGAATTCCGCATTTCTTTAGCTACGATTTAGTGGAAAAAACCATTTTCCTAGCACTCCTAGAAGCCGAGATACAGTCAATCAAAGTTTTGGTGGCTAGAGACGCAGCGTGTCTCATCGTCTGCGTCTCTATCCTCTTAATCTTCAAAGCGCTGTATCTCGGCTCCTAGATGAGCTAGAAAGTAGAAAATGGGAGAGAAAAGTGTGAAATTTCAAGGAGAACATTTTGGAACTAGAAACGTATCTAAATGACATATTATATCACCTATATCTCTGCCAAAATTTCCCTCCTCCCGGTCTATAGACGTCTCTGGATCGAGTGTGTCGTTCGGGTGCAAACAATTCCTCACTTCCATGATGTCCACTTCGTTCGAAACGTTCCAATGGAAGGTCTTGGAGGATGAATGCCGTAGACATGATGACTAGGAGAAGGAGAATGAGAAGATGTTGGAATGACGGCATCTGGAAATCCTTTTTATTGGAGTGTTTGGGTTTAAAAGTGTGGAATTTGAGATGTTCACTTTGAGCTCTATTATCTCGGCTGCTATGAGAGATATAAAAAATTTTCTACTGATAAAATGTTTATCATAATATCACCAATATTTTATCAGGAGACGATATTTTGATATATTTCAAAAAAACCGAGATAGTTAGGATATAAGGGCGCTAGAAAAACAGCGCTAACTTGGCTCAAACGAAAAAATTTCAAAATCTGAAAACGAATTCAAAGTTCTTAAACACTAGGCTTAAAAAATCCAATTTTCCAAAAATCTCGGTCGCCTTTTATATTGACCTAAAATTCATCTAAATAACTTTCTACGTCGCCCCAAATTTACGTCAATTTTAATTTACGAGCTCCGTTGAAAGAAGAAACAAACAAGTCAGACTCTAAAATAGATTTCAGGTCAGATAGAACAATCAGAGATTCTAAGAGAACAATTTCTAAGGTTCTCCTTTTTAGTTGGCTTTCTTTTTACAAATAATCATAGACAACAAGAGAGAGGATGACTGAAAAACAAGGAAAGCTTTAGACTTTGGGGGTTTTTCGATAATGACTCAGTTTTCATAAGTTGTCTAGGTTTTCAAAAAGGTGAGTCACATCGAAAAATGTCTAGCGTTTTCCATAATTAAGGACTTTAGTAGTTTAGAGAACACACTGTTTCCGCCATTTTGACCATTTTCAAAAGTCTATAGCTCGGCTGTCAAGTCTTCGATCGCCTTGAAAACTGTGGAGGGTGTAAAACAGACCTAGGTTGAAAACTTTTCATTCATAGAACTTTTTGAGAATCCCTAGTTTTTCAGCTATTTTCCCATTTCTGAAGGGCACCTGCTTTTTCCCGTTTTCAGTACATAAACTCGCCGAAAAGGGGTGTCTTTCAGAAATCGGCAAATAACTGAAAACCTAGATATTTTCAAAGAATTCTGTGAATGCAAAATAAGGCTTCCATTTTGTTGGGAAATTTAGCCGACCGACCGACCACCGACCGAACTGACCGATTGGTTGGCGCGCCGACCATTTTCGTGCATTTGCGCGTCAACGTGTTTGCATACGCAGCACTGTATTTTACGACAAAGTACCCACTAAATGCCTCGTTTGTCGTAAAATAAATTGCTTCGTACGCAAATATAGGATATTTGAAAGAAACGAAATCGGACGGCTGTCGGTCGGCGGTCAGCGATTTTCGACCGACCGAAATGGAAGCCAGACTCTTGAAAACGGTCAAAACGCTGAAGTACTGTAATAACAAGCTTTAAGGGTTCCATGAACCCTGGACGGTCTACTGGAAGCTGAGATATAACTTCTCCTAAAAGTGAGGGACCGAAGCTAACCTCCAAATTCTAGCCTTCGAATTTAGTACCAATTTGTTCCTCCGGACATTTCACACATTTTTGTCTAAATCTCAATTTTCTAGCCCTTCTAGGACTCAAGATATAGTCATTTCAAGTGGGCGAAGCTCTAGACGCAGACAACGAGGCACTCTAACTGTCTGCGTCTCTGCCAAACTTCTGAACCTGCTATCTCGAGGCCTGGCTCATGACCGAGGCACGGACCAACCAGGTCGTTTTTTAAGGATCTCAAAAGTTTCTAATCAAAAAGACACGATGCTGAAATCATACGAAAACACCAATCCATAAAAAAGACAAAAGGAAAGTATAAGTAAGATTGCCAAGTGGTCTAGGCCGGCTCGACATTTCCTTCCGAAACCAATAAGAAACACCATAAAAGAGAGTCAGAGACTCGTTACAAAAATATTGCTTTTCACGGCTAGAGACATAGCCATACTAATCATTTTTCCCTCTAGCCACACTTCCCTAATTGACACATTTCGTGGAGAGAGAGAGATGTTAAAAACGAAAAACGGGCAGCAGATTGGATTCGTGGAATTGGGGTTGGGTGATTCGGAGAGTGTTGAGTTGAGTGGTGGTAAAATGAAAATGGGTGTGTATAGTAGTTATCCGTCATTTTGGTTGGAAAAAATGGGTGGAGTTGATCTAGTCGGGTTATGTCATAAAGGGGCGGAGCTTGAGGAAACAGGGAGCAAACTAATTAGGGGGAAATGAGGTAAGGATCAATGTGGGGGTGGGTCGCATCATGTTCATAGCTAAGCGGATTCAGCTCATAGTTCAACTCCTTAAGGGACTTTTTCAATGCATACCGTAAACCCTGTAGGCACCCACACTGCCAAGTTCCAACTCATTTCTAGGCGAGATATCAAAAACGTTAACTAACTGGAAAACTGTTTGTCATAATATCACCAACATTATACTATTAGGTTGGCGGGAAAGTCTTTGTCACTCTGTTTGTTTAATCACTGTTCTCGTATATGGAGGCTGTGTATGATATCGACTCTAGTGAATAACAAGGTGATAAGAACCTTCCATATAAACAAGTCCCCATCTCCTTCCCTGCTCCTCATCTGTAATTGAAACGATATGTTTGTTCCCACTGCTATTCACATCAGACATGTTTTGATTTACCTCTTCCTATCTCACACCACGATGAAGGATTCGGAAACTTTCTTGAAGAATGTGTACAACACACATGCCCCTCACTACAATACTATTCGCAATTGGTTCCATCGTTTCGAAAAAGATGACTTCTCGCTCGATGAAAAGGATCGCTCTGGGAGACCCCGTGAGTTGGATTTGGACAAGCTGAAGCACGCATTGCAATCGGATCCATTTCAATCTAGCCGTGAACTAGCTGTCACATTCGGAGTTCACCATAGCACAGTCCTTGAAGGTTTGAAGTCTCTTGGAATGAGAAAACTTTTTGGTCGATTCATACCTCATCACCTGACTCAAGCCAACCTTGACCGCCGAGTCGACGATTCGATTACTCTTCTCACTCTCCACGCGGGCGATCGATGGCTGGACCGGCTAATAACCGGAGATGAGAAGTGGGTCTTCTACGATAATCACCACAGGAAATCCCAGTGGGTTGGAGAAGGAGAGAGCCCACAGGATGTCCCCAAACCCGACCTTCATCCGAAAAAAGTTATGCTCTCTGTGTGGTGGGGAGTGGACGGCCCCATCTACTGGGAACTTCTGCCCGAGGGCAAAACAATAACTGGAGACCTCTACACTACTCAACTACGAAACCTCAAGAAAGCAGTCGACCGTTCGGCCCTGAAAGACAAGAAAGTGTACTATCAACATGATAACGCTCGCCCACATGTTTCGAAACAAGTGAAGCAGGAGCTGATGGGATATGGATGGAATGTTCTCCCTCACCCCCCGTATTCTCCTGATCTTGCTCCTTCCGACTATTGGTTATTTGGCGATATGACACGTGCCTTCGAAGGAAGAAGCTTCAATTCCCGTGGAGCGGTCGAAGCGGCACTCAAACAATACTTTGCCTCACGCCCGGCTGGATTCTACCGCAATGGAATCCATAAATTGAGGGAACGTTGGAGACATGTTGTTGATAATGATGGACAATATAATTAATTATTCGGTTATTTTTTCTTTGAGAAATAAACTATTGAAAAAGTGACAAAGACTTTCCCGCCAACCTAATAGTTAACACATTTTTGATATTACTCACAGCAACCGAGAAAGTTGAGATCAAAGTTCACAGTGTGAGAGGGGGAGGGGTCCTTCGATTACAGATTTTACGGTAGCTCAAGACATTCCAATTTGAATGAAATCTAGTTTTTTTTTGGAATATGCAACAAGGACTTCAAAATGAATACCTGTCTGTTTGCCGCGCCGCTTCAATCAGCCGGCTGGTGCGCCTTCGGCGCGATATAACCCACTTATTTTTCTGTTCGTCGCTCTGCTCCTCACTTTTTCAAAAGGTCACGTCAAGTTTTATTTGATTTTCGAGCTTTTCAAAAAATTTGCTTTTTTAATCGCGTGACGCAATAAATCAAAATAAATCAATCGTTATTTCGTCATGCCCCCATCCTTCTATCCACGTATTGAGAAAAAATCAGTGTCTCTGTGAAATCCGACTCTTTGAATTTTATTGTTGGATAATTTTCACTGGCACTTTCACACTGGTAAGAAGCTCTTTGCATTCCGCTGTTATTGTTGTTTCTTTTGCTTTTTTCTGTCGATTGGTCCGAGGCGAAAAAAGTACTAAAAGGCCCTAAGGGTCGCCATGTTTCGGGGTTCATGGCTAGGTGTTCTATCACTGAACGTCCCCCAGTAGCAAGAGATTTTATCAAAGATTAAAAAAATTGAGACAACAATGAAAAGCGGTATGCAATGTGGCTTCTTATCAGAGAGAAAGTGCCTGTGAAAATTAACCGGCAATGGTCTCCGGAAAGAGGGGTTTTTTCGGGTGACTTCTTTTTGTTTTTTGTTTGTTATAGGATGGGGGACCCCTCCCTCCATCCCCTATGGGTTTTAGAAGGTGATCCCATTGGCAAATAAACCTTGTTTCCCTTTCATGTACTGAGCCTCTACGTGGCGAAAGGGATCAACAGACTTTCTAGTCTGGCTAATCAGTACACTATTCGAAGCTTGTTCTTTTTCATAACTTATCATTCTTATAATGTTGTCTCAATAAACCTATTTCTCTGTTTGTTTGTTTGTTTGTAACTTTGTTCGCACATTTTTAAAAGCTTGGAAATTGTGAGGAGCGGAGCGACGAAGCGCTAGAGCCACGACAACGATTTTCATCGAATTTTCAGGAGTCTGGAGCTCGGCTGTCAGGTTCAGATCACTTTGAAAATTTTCAAGAGGTTGAAACAGACCTAGATTCAAAACGGTGCATTTGCAGAATTTTTAAAAAATTCCTAGTTTTTCAGTTATTCTCGGATTTCTGAGAGACACTTGTTTTTTCACGGGGTCCGAAACTAGTGGTTAATGGACAGGCTCTTTTAGGATTTCTGGTTGAAAAGATATAGTAGAGTACTGTTTTGTAGATCTTGTTGAGTTCTACGTTTTAAATATTTATTCAAACTGAATTCCAGGTTTAGACGGAGTTATGTGCTCCAATAGTAGACCATTGC